ATATGACAATTGTTAGTAGCAGTCGTGACGTGACTTGTAATCTGCGTGTTCTGGATTCTTATAAGTTAGACAAACAATAAGTCTGACTTATATGACCTTCCTTTTTTTTGATTTCGTAATAGTTTTAAGGAATAAAATCGAGAACTCTTAATACTCAATGTTAAGCTGAAACTCTATGTGGCGTCGAAAAAAATATTCTCTAAAATGCAAAAAAAACGGTGGCTAAAATTTAGGTTAACTCAATAAAAGTGCGTTGGCACCAAGATTGGCAAGGTTGCCAAATTTAAACAGAATGAACATAATTTATAAAAACATCGGGATTTTGTAGGGGTTTTTATTGCTTTTTGTGAGGAAAATGGGACGTACCCTCTACGATTAATTAATTTGTTGATTGTTTAACGGTCGTAGAATTTAATGGTCGTAATATGGACTTGACAACACGAATCTTGAATTCAGTGCCATATTGCAGTAGTTCTACCATTTCTTGAAATAAAATGGTTACCAAACATTTGACTTGTTCAGTTTAATTTTTTCGTAATATTATAAAAGCTACCAAACTTGAATCTTTGTGGTTTTTTAAACCACTAAGATTCCATTTGCAGGTACCCTTTACAGGCTTTTTCAAGTTACATTGTTATTATATGTGCAGATAAAACTATGATAGTACATTTCTCATAGAAATACCAGTCCTATGCGGTTAGTTTAGTGTGAAACGCGACTAAACAACAAGACCGAATCCGTCGCTTCACATTGAAAAACGTTGTCGTGAAAAAGTTCAATTACTGCCACTCCGGCGAAACTCACGTCCAAATTCCGTAACCGATGTGACAAAAGCAATAAAAAGCAAATGCTTCCTGAACAGAAAGAAAATGTTACATAAAACGAAACGAGTTGAGATCACATTTTTTGTGTCGCTCCTTGCAGCTTCGTCTCAGCCCTGACACTAGTGTTTCTTGACCTGTTTTGGGCGACGTTACATTGCGGATTTCTTCGCTTGGCAGGCGTGAAAGGAAGTTGCCTCTGATATTAATACTACGTCTGTAGACAATGTAGAAAATCTAGTGTTTTTGGCTAAGATTCATTCGAAGAGCGAGACGACTGTTTTTTGTTCACATTAGTAAACTGTTATAGATGGTTTGTTTTTCTATTACTTGACATTATTTCTTAACCTTGTGTTTATGTAACTTACATATGCTGTATCAAATTGTTAAAATAACAATAAAGAATATTATCAACTAAAAAAAATAGTGTATGTATAGGTGATTGAGGTTGGAACGGTCTGTCAGAAGCTGCCTTCACCTCTGGGTTACTCTGGGGCTTGAGTTATGTGTTTTTTTTTCTGATATTTTCATCATCATCATCATCATCAGCTCACTATATGTCCCCACCGAGGGGCTCGGAGCCTACCCTAAGTTAAGGGTGATTAGGCCATAGTCAACCACGCTGGCCAAGTGCGGGTTGGTTGACTTCACACATATCTTTGAATTTCTTCTAAGATATGTGCAGGTTGCATCACGATGTTTTCCTTCACCGTAAGAACGTCGGATAAATGTACATATGTAAATCGGAAATCGAAAAACACATTGGTACATGGCGGGATTCGAACCCAGGACCTGCAGATTGCAAGTCGAGTGCTTGACCCCTGAGCCACCGACGCACATACGACGCTCAGACGATATTTTCATGAGCAGTAACAATTTTATATAACGCTAATTCCATGAAGAATTTTATACAGGCTTCTTTAAAAAGTAATAAAGCTATTCGTATGGCTGACGAAATGTAAAATTATAAAAAAACACAGTTTTTCATTTCGTTATTTTTATTTTTATTATTAATTTAGTGCTATGAATTCGAAACAATAATACGCGATACTGAGAACACGTTTTACTTGAAAATGATTCTAAATTTTTTTGTGAAAAAAGAATAAATGGGAAGGCCTCTAGGGAGAGATTACGCCCACTTGATTTTTTTCATATCTTTCCTTTCATCTTTGATTTGATAACTTTAGCATGACTCTGAAGTCGAATAGTCTATGTTGAAATTGCTATACAGGTAAATATGAATAACTTTGTAAAGGTTAATTTTTCATTTAAATATTATAATCGTCTACAAGAATAACTCTATTATTAATTATAATCCTGTGATTTATTAAACAGTAATAATTGAATTTTTCATTAGCCTCAATGACAAGAGACCTACATGTTATTCCAAGTGGTGCGACGTGTAACTATAACTGATATTGAAAAGAACGACATCAAGAGAATAATTCTAGAAAACCATAAAAGCTAAAGACTAAAAAATCCGATTGTAAGTTATAGCAAACGTTTTTACTCCAACATATTACACGCCAAAACTCCTGGTTCGCAGCCATTTGCAAAGTTTCAAGGATTAGCGATTTCATTCCTCGCTCGTAGATGGAATTCCAATATTTGCAACACACGAGCAATCGGCTTTCGTGTTTGGATTTATGACATTACTAGCTTATTGCATGCCAACCTTCTTACTATCGTAGTACTGTGGATAATACGAATTCTATTAATTTTTTTTTTAATAATCCAAATAAATGGTTTTCAGTGAAAGTGTCTTCAAATTAAGTACCAACAAGAATAATTTATTAATCGATATAAGTCTATTTCTTTTTTAATTTTAGAAGACTCGAAGGACCAATATGATAAAATTAATTGACGTTTTATTTGTTCTTTATACCAATTTTGATTTACTATGTGCTCCTCAACTTTATTTTTCTTCAGAACTCCAAGTAAATAATGAAATTCTAATTAACATAATTGAGAACACTATAACTGTAGTTGTATACTATATGTACCAAAATCCACAATATATTAATAAACCTAACGATAAATATTACCGAGAAATATATTTGTTTCTCCGCAACATTACTATTTCTAAGGAAATATTTCGCCTTTGGGAATATCAGCTCCTTTTATATCAATGTCACGCAACACAGACATAACATTAATACTGCGTACTTACTTTTGTACGTATAAAGGTACAGTCAGCTACATAAATATTTATACATTTACAAAACTTTATGCACTTCCATTTTAAAAATAAGTATGCACGTATTCGACAGTAGTATGTATTTATAGTCGGAAGCATAGGATAGATAAGTGCCTACATATTTTTGACATCAAAAGCATATACAAGCTTCTAAAGCTTTGTAAATTTAAAAATATTTATGCAGCTGACTGTACTATTACACTACGACACTATACACGATTCATTCAGAGTATACATCGTATATGAATGTCTGTATAAATAAAAGTGTCTCTGATTGAAAAATTTACTGCAATACGATAATTAGTGTCAGGCGCTATGTAAAAATCCCTACAAGTGTAAACAGGACAGACGTTAATGTTGGATATTTATGAGTTAGACTAATAGTACTTTAAACATGAGCTTTATCCACGGTTCGGAAACATCTATAGACACAAATAATTTCCAATATTTTATTTGAAAATTCAAACCAACTAAAACGATTTTATCATCAAAATTTTGTACAATTTTAGACTGAAATTGAACAAACAGATCAAAATTGTGTACTATTTAATCACAATGCCTTTGAGGTATGCTTCGACTATTTTCAATATAGTTGATTGAAGCTATTTATTTCTATACCGCACTTTATTCCCAATGCTAAATGGAGCATTCAAATTAGGAGGGATCGTTATGAATATAAAATGAGATATTTATAACATTTCGGTGTAGCAAAAGCTAAATTATCACTTTTGTAACTATAAAACTATCATCGCAGTTAATTTAATGTGAAATACAAATAAATAAATTTATTAGTATTCAAAAGAACAATTTATTAATAGCTATAAGCTAAAAATTGATAAATGAAGTTCTCGAAATTATAGAAAACAAATAAATAAAGCCTTCCTCTGCAAAACCCTATTGTTATTTAAAGAGAATGATTTTATAATGTTTTTCCAACACTGTCCAAACCATTTTAATCAGTCAACCGATAATAATTATTGTTTATAAAATAACTTCATTTGGAAAAAGGATTTTATTACGAATGCAAATTAAATAACCATCTCATTATATTTACACAAAAATGAAAAGTTCATTTGTTATCCTTTCACGAGCAGTGCAGCGTCAGATGAATATTGAGTGTAGGTATGTGAGTTGTTGACGTTAAATTTTCACCAATAATTAATTCGAACTGTGCGGACGTATTTTCAGAAATTGTAGGACGGTTTTTAGGCTACAAAACGCTGATCGAAAAAAACCTATTCCGCATTTTAAAAATTTATTTTTATTTAATTTAATGGTTGATGGAAGTGGCCAGATCTATTTTATATTTCTATGAAATAAAATACTATTCAAGTCATATATTATAGTAAAAAAACTAGCATTATAAATCATAAACTCACACAGCATACAAGATTTATAATAGTGGAAATATTATGTTTTCATTTATCTATGCGTTGTTTTAATTTATTCGTTTAAGTTGTTTCAGAATACTTACCAATCTTTTTATATTACAATTACATTTAAGATGCCTTTCCGGAACTTATAAAAATATATTTATTATAGTAAAAATCCGTTTGGGAGATAAACTTTTAATTATTTGAAATAATATTACAGTGTAGTACGTAATCAATACATCGTTGTTAGGACAGCGGCGTCGTCCTGTCAGTCGTGCGCATACGCGTGTTTACAAAGTCAAGGCTCGCGGCTAACTAAGGGAACGGGGGAACTACGGCGGGCGCGCAGCCGGGCGAATTGTCGGGACGGAGGCGGGGCGCGCCCAGTTCGAGAGGTGGCGTGATTTCGACGCCGTGCTATAGTAATTAAAAACAGCTAATTATAACTATAATTCAATTCATTAAAATAAACATTCTTGTTACAGATACACGATGGTTACAAAAGAAAAAGAATGTAAAAGAAAATTAATTGAATAATGACGTTCTAAATCACTTTTGATGTGGCTAATAGAAAAATGAGAAATGGAACTACCGAGGTGATATTAAAAGATGGCCGTTCATAGATTGCCACTACATCTAAGCAACTCAATCAAATTATTGTGGCTAACAATAAAAATATGGTTAGAGAAGAAATCATTTAAGTGGAATAATCAAGTGACAAATTTAAAGTTGACTTTGAAATTAGATTATAAAGACAAAGCTAAATTATCTATACTTTTAGTGTTATTGTTTAGTGTTAATTCGAATGGAAATAGTTATAGTGGAGGTAGGAATTCTATGTTAAGGACAAGAGTGATCGGTACGAGATACGGCAAGTTACAAGGCATTATCCTGCCGATGGATCAACACAAATATTTGAAGCCTGTTGAAGCATATCTTGGTGTTCCCTATGCTACGCCACCTACCGGTTCAAACAGGTATTTATATTTATAATTTAATGAAATCATTAAAAAAAGTATACTAAAAATTATTAATTTAAATCATTAAAATATGCAAAAATTTTGAATAAAATTTAAATTTAAGTTATTTCTTTAAATAACAATGTACATAATTGTAAATAAAAATGTTTACCATAAAATTACTTAGGTATAAAACTTAAACACCTTTTTTGTAGAACCTATTATGTTGAGATATCTTCCACTGATCAACATTTAGTGTATGTGCTTAAAATAAACAATTAATTAAATTTAACGCGACCTCATTAAAATGTACACGCATCAACAACTTCTAATTAAATGTTATAATTATTAACAGTTCTGTGGTTTACAGATTAGATTTTTGATTTTATTCTACTTATTGTAGTTTTAATTATGTGTAAATTAGTACTAAGCTAATAATGGTCAACTCATATTCATTAATTGACCACTAAAGCAGTCTTTAAGTGTAGATTTTTCATACCAAATCCATACTAAGAAAGTAAACAACTGATGTGAATATAAAATTAGTTAATTTCTGGTAAGTAAAAATTTAAGTCATAATTTAACAAAATTTTGCATTTTATTTCTTTTTATATTTTAAAATACGAATCTGTGACAACCTTAAATACAAGACCGTTAATATTTCTATAACAAAAACAAAACAAGATTCGACATATTAAATACACGAAACAAATAAATATCGGAATTAATATAGAAGATTATTTTCTGTTACGCTATTATTTGAAGTAAGCCCAGACTAATATGATTCTTTCAGTATTAGATCCTATCTTTATTAGAATTATGATATCTTTATTTGATATAAATCTGATACTAAGATCATATTGTATTAGTAAATTCGAATGAAATTAATACAAAAGAAAAATATACCAGTGAACTATATTTATTGAACTGGAATTTATATTTTCGTCATTATTTGAGGTAAATTCCATTCGCTATTTATTTCGGTATGATTCATCTTCACAGTCGCTTAAGTCTTTACATACTGTTCGTAGTCATCTAGCAGGTGCCGTGACTTCTATTATGATAGGGGCCTCAAATATTAATTTAATTTTGGTAGATCCCACAAAAACAATATTTGTCGGGTGCACGTATGGATTTACTGGAATACCACGACCTTAAAGAAGACAGACGTGAACTGGAAATAATAATGCCTTTTGTCTGAGGAGTGTTGGTGCCGGACGCCTAATTTTAGTCCTTGATCCCTTCCCACCCTTTTCTAATAAGGAAAGTATGGAAATAGGGAAGATGATTTATCGGATTTAAAGTTAGTCATCTCCAATTGTCGATGGCAATGGTCAGCGGTTGATACGCTTTTACGACGAATTTCGGTGGGGTTTGTTCGACTATGACCTTAAAATATATGAAAAAGCTACTATAGGCTTAATGAAATATATTAAATAACTTCAGTAATTTATTAAGAAAGTGTGGAGCCCTAATTATAAAGACATAAGTTGAAAAATACGGTATCAGCTGATTATATAAAAATGTCTGAAGGCGTATCGTTTGTATTGAAAATACAAATTTTAAATACGAACTAAAAGATTTGAACCGACCAATCGTCCATGACCTATTTTACTATATTTTGTTGTTGTGACATTTTCAGGTTAGCTGTGACTTTTTGTACCTCGTTAAACTCTTTAAATAATTAAATTAAACCCGCTTATTTCCAGTTTTGAATTTTAAGAGATTAATTAACCTAATTAATTAATTAAAATTTGGCGTTTTAATATTTAATATAAAGGTTTGCTCCAACGCGAGCGCCAGCGCCGTGGGACGACGTAAAGACAGTGGATCAAATGGGGCCGGTTTGTCCGCAACGTTTGCCAGACATTTCAAACGAGACTCAAGCTCTGGAGAGAATGCCTAAAGGCAGGCTGGAATACTTAAGGCGACTTTTACCACGACTAAGGAATCAAAGCGAGGACTGTCTATATATGAACATCTATACACCAGTTCAAGGTAAGATTATAAAGTATTAAAATAGCTATAGACAGGTATTTTCTTTTGCAATGTACTATCTTAGACGACTAAGTATAATCACGAAGTTAAGTATGAGAGGTACTGTTTTGTGAAAAGAGTGTAGCTACGGGAAATTTAATTTCGTTCAGCATTGTACTTCGTTCCTATGCTTGTTACATCCTCAATAAATACTTTACGAAGTTTGTTCGTAGGCCAAAACATTGATATTTCGACTTAAGTTTTATCTATAGAACAATGTAAAGTAGGTTACGAAACTCTTTCTAAGGCAGTGATTGCGCTGCCTTCGCTCGACGAGGAATGAATGAATACACGGTTAAAACAATACCGACTCTTATTTGCTTCCCTGCAGGCGGTCTGAGGCTTACGTCTCGCTTAGTGAAACAATCTTGATTCTTTACATAAAGGTCTCGTTTGCAAAATTTTAAATCGCAATTTTGCCTGTCTACAATCTGTTATTGCTATTCGTTTTATTATTTATTTTGCGTTGGAAATATTAAAATTTTATACTCCTTAGACTTGAAAGTAATTACGTCTTAAACGATAAACAGTTCGTCGATTTCGTCGTAACGTTTTATGTTAAATCTTGAGAGAGACACTATATTTAAGAAAAAACAAAGGTGAAAAATAAAAATACAATCCTACATCTTATTGGTTGTGGTCGGAAAGATAGAGGGTAAAAGGTCACGGGGTCGATCACCTACTCGCTGGTCCGATCAAGTGCAAGCTATATTGGGACTTAATATCACGACTGCCCTGAGACAAGCCGAAGACAGGACGGCGTGGAGGCAGCTGGTCGACACGGCCGTTGAAGCGTACCAGGACAAGCACGACCTTCAGTAATGAAGAATACGAAGAAGAACATCTTATTAGCACGCATGCTATATAGTAAACTTTGCTACTACTAAAAAAAATATAGAAAAATTTCAATATCATTAAAAAATTCAGGAGCACATTTTAAATTCCAAAAATAACACTTACGAAGAATAGTTTCCATTTATGAGAATAATGAAATGTCTGACACACACCGCTGGGACAAGCGTCGCGCTCAGATACCAAAATTTTAATCATAGCTTACAATGGACTCCCCTTCCCGAGAGATAATTCAACAAGGTGGCGGGCGGCAAACTTTATAATACACTTTTAGTTTTATTCTTATAAAATGTTTGGTAAATTAAATTATTTTTTTGTCTTAAAAATAAAGTAGGCGCTTAAATATTTTTTAATTCATCGTCATAATTTTAGCTCTTATAAGTACGGCTCCAATTGGACTAAATTACACGTAAATAGCTTTGGTTATGGATATATAAATGTAGGTCTTTTACCATCCATTGTTGATCAATCATATATATATCATTCTCGTGTCAATTGTGACACGAGAATTAGGAGTCGTAGGAGAGAGGAATTAGGATTATGGGAACGAAAATTGTTTCGTTCCCACACTCCTCCGATTCTCATGAAATTTTGTGAGCATATTGAGTAGGTCTGAGAATCGGCCAACATCTATTTTTCATCCCCCTAAATGTAAAAGTCCACCCCTATTTTTTTTTTTGACAAACACGCGGACGGAGTCGCGGGCGACAGCTAGTATGAAAATATATTAACACTTTATAGCCTAAAATATTACAAATCTACGGCTTTCGTAGTTATTAATCTGAAATTATGTTCCGTATGTTGTATTATCCACAAGGAGAATATCTGGAGCGTAACGAATCTCTCATGCGATACTATTCGCTTAAACAAAGCCAGGATGTTTCGCTCAAGCGGACATTGTGGCACCTCTATAAATAATAAAAATAACTTCTCACGTTATTTCCCTATAGTGGAAACATAAAGTGAAACTATCTCTTAAAATAATTTTAAATGGTAGATACATATGTTATTTTAATATTATCGATAGTGGTTTTATGAATTTATTGAAACACTAGCTGTAGACCGAGACTCCGTCCGCGCGAAATTAAAAAAAAAACTTATACAGTAGCCTGTTTTTTCTTTTACACTTTGTATATGCTAAATTTATTTTTTTTCCTTTAACGTTCTGGATATACCTTCAAACAAACATTCATCCATGCATCCAAACATTCGCAATTATATATGGCTACTTCCAAATTCCACAATACCAGAAAAACTGCATGATTTTTGCCATTCGCAGCCAGTTATATAGAAACAGCAGGATTACAAGGAAGTATTTATTTCAGTGGGGCCAACACTACAAGCGAAATACCCTGTAGTGATCTTCATCCACGGGGAGTCGTTCGAATGGAACTCTGGAAATGTTTACGACGGAGCGGTCCTCGCGAGTTACGCGGGCCTTGTGGTTATCACTATAAACTACCGCCTTGGTATATTAGGTAAGCAATTAACATAATAAAACTGCAAATAGAACTTTGAACATTAGGAAAGAGGTAGCAAAGAAAGACGAATATTACGAAAATCGTGCAGAAGGAAAGAATTTGACTACATATTCATTAGACGTAATGTGCAATTGAATCTAATTGTCGAGGTTGCCTATTTATAATAGCGTTTTTTTGTGACTGAGTAGTCATTGTATGCCTTGAAGAGACATTTACAGCTTCACCGGGCTTTAGGTGCCCAAGCGCAGATGCCGCTTAGCCTGAACCTCGTTTAAGAGTAAAAAGACTCGAGGGCTCCCTCAGGAGCGTCGGCTCGGGTTGTTACTTCGCTATTGTTGCAGGATTGGGAGGTCACCCAGCTCTTGTAAAAATGTGTAATATGCAGCTTGTATATCATAGTAATTATAACAACAGCTATTAAATACAAAAGTAACTTAATGTATGATAAAATAAATTACAAAGTATGCTTTATCGTCAGGTTTTTTAAATGCAAATCCAATACCGCACGTGAAGGCTCGGGTAGCAAACTACGGGCTTATGGATCAGATAGCGGCATTGCATTGGGTTCAGCAAAATATAGCTCTATTTGGCGGCGACGCGGGTAACGTCACAATGCTGGGCCACGGCTCGGGTGCAGCTTGCATAAATTTTCTTATGATTTCACCTACTGTGATGCCGGGTGAGTTAAATTTTCGTTCAAAATTCTGATCCCGTACTGAATGTAGATCTCAGTTGACATGTCTCTGTTGTATAATACTTTCTTTATTTGTTCATGTATATTATTCCTTATTTCATAAGATTTGTATACACACATGTTATGATACTGTTAACTTTATAATTTTTTTTTGTTTGATCCAAGATTAACTTATATTAAATTTTCAGGTCTTTTTCATAGATCGATTCTTCTATCCGGTTCAGCTCTTAGCTCCTGGGCATTAGTAGAAGATCCTGTAGGCTACTCTATACAACTTGCTAAACAGTCTAATTGCACTTTACCAGATGATATTGTGAAAGATCATGAACTTATTGTCGATTGTCTCCGAGAAGTCCCTTTAAATGAACTTATGTCAGCTGATATAAATACACCGAGTTATTTAACTGCTTTTGGTCCATCTGTAGACGGAGTTGTTGTCAAGACAGATTACGCTAAAGAATTACTTACATTTTTTATACCAAATGATTTACAAGGCTTCACAAGTGTGTCCGGTGTCAACAATTTCAAAGCGGACAAACGAGCCGGGGATCGTATTTTCGGAATAAGGGGTGGACAAAATAAATATGACCTACTATTTGGAGTAGTAACAAGTGAAGCTCTTTGGAAATTCTCAGCGCAAGATATACAAAACGGTTTCGAGGGAGAGAGACGCGACAGGATAATAAGGTAAGATGAATGAATATTTATTAGGGGAATTGACATTTAATTTAGAGCGAAATGCCTTTTTCCTGTTTGCTTTTTATTTTCACGTTTTTTATTTATTACTTACTACTTCTGTTGAAAGAATTACAGGCGATTTAAAATTAGCTTTAAGACGTAACATTTTGTTTAGTTTTTTATTTATCATCTTAAAATAAACATATTAGTCTATTGTTACGCAACACTTAGGCCGCGGGCACGAAACTTGCGACGAGGAAGCACGACGGAGTAGGGCGATGTAAGCAAAAGTACTACTCCGCTCCCACATTTCGTGCGCGTCGCTACATAGTGCTATATTTTTAATAACATCATCGCGTCGGTGGCTCAGTGGTCAAGCACTTGACTTGCAATCTGCAGGTCCTGAGTTCGAATCCCGCGAAAACATCGTGATGCAACCTGCACATATCTGAGAAGAAATTCAAAAATATGTGTGAAGTCAACCAACCCGCACTTGGCCAGCGTGGTTGACTATGGCCTAAATACCCTTAACTTAGGGTAGGCTCCGAGTAGTAGACACGTATAGTGAGCTGATGATGATGATTTAATAACATCGTTCTGCTCAGCCCGCGACACCATATTCCCGTCGTAAATTTCGTACCCGTGGCCGTAATATTAAAGGTCAGCTGGCTATTGTTTCGTGTTAATGGAATCTTTGTTTCAGAACATACGTAAGGAACGCCTACACATATCATTTGAGTGAAATATTCTTTACTATAGTTAATGAATATACAGACTGGGAAAGAACTGTCCAGGTATATATCAATAATTTTGAACAGTTTGTAGAGTTGACTAAATGTACCAGGACTGGAATTAAACTAAATTAAATTCCTAGTCCTTAAATATTTTCCTCCATCAATAAAACCTACCAAGCATGTAATATCCAACGATGTTATTAAACATATTACAAAATGTAACAAAGTTCTAAGAATTTTTAATATCAACTTGTAACAAGAACCAAAGCAACATGATACAAGTAATAATAAAGATAAACAAGATCCAGAGAGTGAATAATATTTGTTTTCCAACAGCATCCAATAAACACAAGAGACGCTGCTGTGCTCGCGCTCTCAGACGCTCAATATGTCGCTCCTTTAGTACAGACTGGGGATTTTTTAAGCTCCACCGAAACCGGACCGAGCACATTCTTCTACGTCTTCGACTATCAGACAAAGGATGGAGATTATCCACAAGTATGTTTTCTACAGAAATATGTTCTTGTTAAGAATAAAGTTACAAACCTTTCTATTTTTATCCTCAATATAAAAGATTTAGAATGTAATTTATTACTGGTTTTTATGTTTGTTACAAAAATTGGGACATAGGTAATTTGTAAGTGTTAAGTTTTGTTCCATTGTTTAAGGATCAAAATATTTTTCCAAAAGTAAGTGATAAAATTTTAAGTAATTGATAAAGGTGAAATTTCTGCAAACACCAACTAATAAAATGAAAACTTAAAACTGAATTACAAGACACTAACACTAATAGTTACAACTTATGTTAAGAATTCATTCTTAAGGTAACACGTACAATCTTTTGATCACATTACTTAACAGGTGGGATTGTGGTCACGCGCTAGCTTATACATAATAAATAAATGAATTTTGTATAAATATTTATAACTATAGATATAAGAATATATTGCTATAACTTAAGTAATTCAGTACGTGACTTGCACATAATTTGATGTTCAAAATTTTAATGTCTATAAAAATTCCAGCGCATGGGTTCCGTGCACGGAGAGGAGCTGCCTTATTTATTCGGCGCGCCTCTAGTTGAAGGGCTCGGACACTTTCCAAAGGATTATACAAAATCTGAAGTAGCACTCTCCGAGGCTTTCATCTTGTACATTGCAAATTTCGCTAGAACTGGGTGAGTGTAGTTAAAGAAATAAAATTCTATTTCATCTCTTTCTAGCTCTTGGTGATTTAAGAAAGCAAAATTTTTCTACTGACTGGGTATGAAATTTAATTGATGTGTAATTTCTAAAATGAATATAAAAATATGTTTAAACAATTTTTGATTATTATTATTATTTATTTAGTTTTATTTTTAGTTTGGTTTAGTTTTAGTATATAGTTTAGAGTATTATTTTGGTAGTTTAATTAATTAGTCATTTAATTACTGTAAGAATGTAAATATAATAAACTTACAATGTTAATATGATTTGATATTATTTTTGATTGAAGAAAATTAAATAGAAATCTTAGACTTAAAAGGAATATAAAATTGGAGTTTGGAGCTTTGGTACAACTATATTTAATCTTTGTAAGTAAGTTAAGTATTAAATAAGAAAATAATCCACAAATTAAGATAGAAAATAACAGGTATTTTCACTAACAGTTGACTTCCCGTCGCGCCTCGCGCGCAACCGGAGCAGAGTGGAAAATTATTGTTCCGAACGAAGTTTGTTATTACGGTTCAGCTCCCTTACCTTTGAAATAAAACAAAGTTATTTGTTTCCACGTTGACAAGGCATCCATGAATTCGCATAATTTTAGTTGGCACAAACATGCAAACTAAGTCAAAATCTATTTTCATCGCGACCTTTGCTTAAAGTCATATTTCATCAATTTCATTTCGTTTCATTTAAGATCAAATACGTTTTTAATTTAAAATGCATCTTTATTTCATTTCTATTTACGTACATTTTCTGTACTTATTTTAGAACAAGACAGAGCTATTAGACTCAGCGTTCAACAAAGAATTGTTTATAGTTTTGCACTGTGCGGCAAAATTCTTAGAATTTGTGAATTCAATGCAAAACGAAGTATTAAGATATCTGTACTTATTTAGGATTTTATAACGATTTGTTTCATTTCAATAAAAAATAGAATAGAACAATAAATAATTTAGCAGTAAAAAATTTCTGAGCAGAAATCCCAACGAGTTGCAGCGTCAGGAGTCCATTCTGCCAATATCGAGGGAGCGCAACAAGTTCAAGAGCATAGTGTGGGATGAATACGACACACTGCACCAAAAATATTTGGAAATAGGTAAATTATTATTTAATGAAAGAAAGAAAGAAGGAGAAATTAAAAATGCTAAAATAAAACATCTAAGATCTATAAAATCGTTTAATGTTGTATTACAGTAGACAATGTATTACAGGTATGAAGCCGCGTATGAAGAATCATTATCGTGCCCACCAGCTTTCTGTGTGGTTGCGACTGATTCCGGAAATTCATAGAGCGGGAATGAAAGACGTCGTCGCGAAACATAACCTGTTTCGCAACCACAACGACCCGGAGATGTACGACGGATTAGTGCGAGCGGATCCTTTGACGAGGCCCAATTACTACGACCCCACTATGGAGCTTTATCGCAAGCCTTACAATGTCACCCTTGACGTGCCGTCAACTACAATGGACACTTACGTCACCACTTGTATAAGTGTGATGTCGGCTCGCCCCGGCTCCGCAGTCACGCAAAACCAAGCCCCTAACAGTTCTCAAGATGCGTCCAATCTAGAAGTGGCAGGTTACACTGCTTATTCCACGGCTTTAAGTGTTACTATAGCTATCGGTTGCTCATTATTGATTTTAAACGTTTTAATTTTTGCTGGAGTATACTATCAAAGAGACAAAACACGACTACAAGTGAAAGCGCTCCAGCAGCAACAGAAAAGGAATCATAATTCAACTTTCGATAGTGTTTCATCAAAGCATCCTCATTATTTTGTTGGACATTCTCAGAGCTCCAGCACGATAGTCGATATAGACCATCAGGATAAAAACGCTATCATTGCATTGACGAATCGAGTTCCACACTTTACGAATTCAAACTGTCCCAATGTTTGCCACACGGGAATGCAAATGACAAGTTTAGCACAGAAGAGTAGCCCACCAACGAATCGTGGGCAATGTACTACACTACCAAGAAAAGTCGGTTTCAGTTATCAACAGAATCAAATCTGTAATCCGTCAAACTGTATGACTCTGCCGAAGAACGCGACATTCATGAGTGCGACCAACTTACCAGACGTACAAGCACAGACGGGACAAACGCAGTCGCCCGGCAATGGATCAGTTCTTCCATCCTCACCGCCTTCCCAACATTTTCAACAAAAGTCAAGGGTGCCTCAAGCGGCGATGTCAGAAATGAACGTATGAGACATGGAAGATATTTACAATTATGTATAAAAGTGATATGAACAGGACAATAACACTAGTGCATGATTGTAAATATCAATAAAGTGAAAGTGTAAATAGACGTTGAGACGCTCAGGTTTATTCATTACATAATTTATATATAGGTACATACTATAATATAATATATAATTGTAATTGCATTAATGTACATAATTATAAATATAACAAACCTATTGTAAATGGGTGCAACAACATTGCAGTGGCCAATTTAATCAAACTGTATGTAAAGCCTGAACTATTTAAAATACTTTTGATTAGTATTGATAAATTAAAATAACATACATCATAGAATAACGTCATTGAAAATGGCAACATTGTAAATAATTTAGAATTTCAAAGACTGTATTGACATTTCATTTTCTGTTCACCAAAAAAAAAATCTGCTTCGTATTTTTTTTTAATATTACATTCATTTTGTAAACATTCCGACAAAATTACAAAGTTCTTTTTAGTGCGATTAACTAAAATAATATTTATTTAATTTACTTCTAAGTTAAACCAGCTTTAATATTTTAGTTATCTGTGTTATTGTCTACTCTGTGATTGTATAATTTTGAATGTAAAAATAAAACTACAGAATAGGTCAAGAATATTCCATTGCCTTTTTGTGTAATGACATTTAATATTTAAAAAAAAAACATGTTCTGGTGGTTTGTATTGACTTTATCTAACCGTTACTATGAATCTTATGATGGGTATCAAGATTTGAACGTAAAACAAAATAAAATTCGAGTAAAATAAATATGTTGTTTTATTTTTAAATTAACGCGAATGAGTTTTATAAAATTTATTTGGAGATATTGCACAGAGTAATATTGAATACAGAAATATCATTACACAGTACACTCTTCTCTAATTAATTGTATGAAATGGCCAGTTTTATTTGAGAGAAAAATTAAAAAAAATTCGATGACATTTTGTTAAAAGGCGCGTCCTCAGCCTTTTAAAAGCTCTCAAAGCTTTCAGACTGTAACGTAGCTTAATGTTTTCTTTATAAATGTACTTTACTTTCAAGTTATAAAGCCTTTTTCAGTAGCATCTTTAGTTGTCAAACGTTTAGTTGCTATAAGTATTGACTCGACGCTATACAGTTTCCTTTGGGCTTATCTTTTTTTTTAATTTTAAAAGTAATTTATTGCTAAGTCGATAATTTTTAAAAACTTAAAAAAAATCTAGTTTGCTTTTGATAAAATTTTATTTTAAGATTTTATTTTTATGTTACAAGTCAAAACAACACAATATTCTTTCCTGCAAACATTAATATGTTTGCGAATTGACAATGCGTTCAGGACTAAGAGTTCGTTTATAAAGTTAGTTACTAGAAAGTAACTAAACACTACACTGTTAGCATTCATTTAACTACACGGTAATAACAGCACTTTTGTTAACTGTTGTTAAAAGTGTACCTGGAGGCATTATGTGTGAATTTGGATAATAAATTCAGTAGCTCGTTATAAATGGAGTTTGCGAACAAAAGCGGCATATTGTATTATGTAACTAACATACACCGTGTGTCCACTTTAATGTTACATTGTTTATGTGAACTCACTGTTGTTCTAGTCGTGTTTACATTTGAAACATATATAGCAGTACAGTCCGCTGAAATAATATGTATACACTTACAAAACCTAGGAAAATGTAATAAGACTTGGGATTAAAAAAAACGCATGGATGAATTCGTCAATAACGTATAATCTTGTTCGGAAGCATACGGGCGGATTCGTGTATGCGTATTTTTCAAACCGAAGTATAGTTTTTGAATTTTTCTAAATGTACACATATTTATGCAGCTGACTGTACAAAGACAAACATTACATGTTAAGAAAGCGTAAAGATTAATTTTATAGTATAGCTTACAATGGCTTAGAACAATGTGCTAATAAACCACGAACAACTACAAAATTATAACGTTCGCTCCTGCAATAGATGTGAAATAAACAAAAGAAATACGATGAACAAAGACTGTATTAAAAGTAACCTGTGTTATGTCAACACAATTACACGCAGAAATTAAAATCTGCCAAAATTATATTAGTTATTTTTTTATTGTGTGGAATATCAGCTTATATTATGATCAATACATCAACCCTTTAATACCACGCATATTTGGTTACGAAATAATTCTTCATGAAACTCGTATACTTTGAAGTATAATTAAATTACGAGTGTCAAGTTATGTTGACGATGTACGGAGATACCTCGGGTGACCTAAATTACTGGTCTCTCCGGTCTAGGGCCCTTATAACTTCATCGTACACTACTCGCCTCTGCGTTGTCTAAATTTAATAATTTTATATTAACACTTGCTAATATTATTTAATTAATAGTCAATTTAACTATTATACATAGACTAAGTTACAATTTTTCAATTATATGGTAAATTTACTCTTCGATAAGTATTTCGCAATATTCTAGTAGTTACTGTAGACATTGTCTACTTAAATAGATCAGAAAAAATTAGATACCTAGGGCCTTACCATTTGTACTGGGCTTCTGCACGATTCCTGGAGTCGTGCAGAAGCCCAGTGCAAAGGGTTCCGGTGTGTTCCTTTGGAGATCCCGGGACCCTCGCATTCGCACTTGAGGTTGGCCACCGAGGGGGTTTTAGTGAGTAAGAATCTCACATAACCCAGTCTTTCCCCCAAAAGGTATCTTACGGAGATCCCCCCCCCACCCCCGAAAAACAAAAAAGGGCCTTACCAAAGTAAAATTGGACAATATTGTCCATAATGTTTTTCATAGGCTTTTAAAGGGTTTAAAGCATGTATTTAACTAAACAGTGGCTAACTATAGTTTTGGAATGATACAGAAAAAGTTTCATAGTTTATTAAAATCACCATTTTCTAACGTTAAAGTAAGCTGTGAATATTTTCTGTAAAAAACCCAAAGTCAGTTTTAATAAAATAATTTTGAAATTCAGCTTCCTCGAATGAAAGTTACTGCGACGAAGATATTATAAATAGTGTTGGCTAATTAATGCAGGCAAGAGTTGATTTTTATTTTTACACCAAGATGCGAATCAAAGTATTTTACCCAATGAAAATACCAAATCCTCATTACTTAATAATTTTAATTAATTAACTTTTCTAAGAAGTCACTTCAAATTAACCAAAGTTTAATTTCAATGGATCTAATATAAATTTGAATAATTTTGAACGTCAAAATATTTTAAGATTAATTTCGTAGGGTTAAATATACAGTTTAACCGACACTAAGAAAGCCCCTTAGATGTGAAATCTACTTTAAAGTACCTCTAAGAGGCAGTTAAATAACCTTTAGTGTGACAGTAAGGCTCTATTTAGATTTAAATTAAATAAAATTCCCGTGAAACTGACTATAAAACAACTAATACTCACGTGTTTATCCGTTTTCGATACCGACTAGTTTTGAGCCCAACGAGGGCCCTTTTTCAGGTTGATTGCGACTAGTTTTACATAACAGTCGTGTCCCACTCGCCCTGAAAATGGGTCCCTGATGGGCTTTAAATTAGTTGGTGTTGACAGTATTATACAATACTAGCGGACCCGACAGACGTTGTCCTGTCGTGACGTTCAAAAATTGAATTGACGTTTAAAATTCGAATATTATTTAAAATTTGACACTGCGATGGTAGCGCCGTCTGTCGGATCCAATGTAACAACTAATAAATTAAAAAAACATTGTCCAGCGGACAAAATTGTGAATCTAAACCATTCCCAGATCCCCTTGAACACACACAAACAATTTCATCAAAATCGGTCCAGTCGTTTGAGAGAAGTTCAGTGACATACACACTCACAGAAGAATTATATATATAAAGATGTAATAATAATTTTATAATATACAAATTATCAAATATAATTCATGCATATTTATTATTTATGAAATAAAACACACTTTGTTAACTTTACAATTGGGATTCAGTGAATATTTTACAAAAATAATAGTCGAACACCTTCAATTAATATGTTGAAACAGAATTATGTTACAAACAGGAGAGATCTCATTATTGAATGTTACGCTCGCAATATTTATATTTAACAAACGAATATTTTTTCAATGCCCGTGGGCGGAAACATGTTTTACTTCAAATTAACGTAATATTTTCAACAAATTTGTTGTTAATTTCTCTCTTTTGATGTCTTGTTTTCTGGTTTTTCAAATGCTATTTTAATTTTATTCACGAAATGCTATCTTTTCGAATTTTTTAAAATATTATAATATGCAAACGGTCACCTGAAATAGTTCCTCTCACTCCGGTGAGAGAGGTGAGCGCCGGAGAATTTTAGTACGACTAACTTATCAAGCCCGATGGCTAGATAAGTTAGTCGTACTAAAATTAGTACAGTAGGTAGTAGTAAATAATAATCGAAAAGAAAAACTACTTTTATTTTTTAAGTGTAAATAAATCGTTCCATTTTAGTTCATGTTTGTTTTAATATAAAAATAAAAATTATATCAAAGTGACTTTCACCAACTATTTTCATGAAAATAAGTAATAAATGAGTCCAAACTGATATAAATCAAAGAATTGCTAGACTTCGGCAACAAATCACACGATTAGTCCTCTATCCAATTTCGTTTTATCTTTACCCTCATCAAACTTACTTGTACTTTCTCAAATATCTGAATTCATTTTCTCTTAATTTGTACGAAAACAACTCGACTAACTAAAGCTTTAATAAATAGAGCCTTGTATTATGTTTTTAAAATCGAATATTTGTAAATTAAACTAAACGAACCCTAATTTCAAAATTCTTCTATTTTTCACTTTGTTCGAAAAAATTTAAAAATTGATTTAGGGAAGTAAATTTCAAAGTTTTTATACTAATTTAGAAACTAAACATTTACGTTTGATACTCTGGAGAAGCAGACGAATCGAATGATGACGAACTCGTCAAAATACATACAAACCCAGATACAAAAAAACAAACTTACATACAAACAAAAACATTGCCCTTTTTGTCAGACGGTTAATAAAAAAAGGTCTTGACAGACAGACGGCCGACACAAAGTGATCCTATAAGGATTCAGTTTTTTACCTTTCGAGGTACGGAACCCTAAAAATGATATTTATGTACATTTGATTAATATTATGTATTAAATCTTGCTCCATTAAGTACACGAAATTCTTTAAGATGTGGTTCACAA